GAGAGAGAGAAAGAGAGCGACTCGAAACAATAATTATTATTATTTTATTTTTTTTTTTTTGGGGGGGGGTCCAAAAGAGCTTTGTTATTGAGACTTGAATCGCCAACTGGTAAACTACAAAGAGAAGCTTATTTGACTCATCTGAAAATATTGGTTGGACAAAAGCCACAATTGTACCCATACTTCAGCATAGAAATGAACAGTTTGGTCATGAATTTACTCCTTCTCGTTCATATATTTAAACAAAAACATGTTTCCTTTAGAAATTGTTTAAATATAGTTATACATCAAGATTTCGATCCTATTTTAGCAATCGGATGAAACCATTCGGCGACATATTGCCGAAAATGTTCGCAGCAGTACTAGTTTAGAAAGTTCTTTTTCATTCAATGATCCATAATAGTTCACGTTTTGCATTAATCTAACAGAAAATACTGGTAACTTAATTTAGAAGAAAACAATAGTTGACAAAGAAGAGAACTCCAGAGAGAATGTTAGATCAATAATTAAAGTTCGAATACACAGAAACCATCATTAGATCTTCGTTTGAATTTTAGTTTTGAGGTTACCGTATATGATATTTTTCCACGGGGGTACCTCGGCTCCTTCCAGGTAATCAGCAAAGATTTTGATCTACTGGAAACAGCCACCTCCTGGGGCTCACTAGGAACTGTAAAGCAGGAAATAAGATTAATAATGAAGTAAATACAAGTCAATATTTGTATTCGATTTTCTTGTTAAGGGGTAGAAGCTTCACAAAAATTATAGCATTAACCAAACATTTTTGTTTCTCTTTCTTCTCTCTCCCTTTCTCTTTGCATTATTTTGCGCTGTATTTATGAAGGGAATATCAGTGATATAACATCTACTGTAGATCCGTGTCATTTGAATGAGAGGTTCAGTTTGAGATCAAAACTACATGCATTGGTCACTCTTGCAATACATGGTGAAAGGATTCATCATCTTTCACTTTTAGGTAGCCATGCAGTCATTCCTTGCTTACACTTAAATGATAACTGGATAATACTCGGGGATTATGGGATCTCTTGATGTCCAAACAAACACTCATGGTTAGTTACATCATGTACATGAACACTTCCATCTATTAACAAGTCCCGCCGCGGTACTAATGTCTTTTGGCAAGATATTAATCTACATTTGCCACACTCCACCCAGGTGAGGTTAATGGGTGCCCAGTAGGAAGACATTCCTGCAATGCTTGCGCACCTTTTCATGGTAGCTCAGCTAAAGCCGGGGGTAATTTAATGATTCCAGGGTCAGGGAGAACAGTTTGAACACTAATGAGGCTACCCTGGGTAAACAAGACATATTATTATTAACATTATCATTGACAAATCTTTCAAATATCAACAATTTCTTAAAAGTCTCTGCGATCGTGTTCTATGAACATGTCATTTTTGTATATGGTTTTGTTTACCACGTTACTCAACTTTTCTTTCTTTTTCTCCCTTTTTTCAATGGGGTAATAATATTTCTACAATAATTACTTTTATCTACATGGGGAATCATAGAAATGAGAATATGAATGTCGTACTTCCTTCAGATGTAATCCTGACAACGGGTGGGTCTGGGCTTGGGCTACCAAAACCTAAAATGCTCTCTGCCATGACCTGTATAATGAAATAAAAACAAGGTGATATAAAAGGGAGATGTAGAGCTGGAAATGACTTACAGATTAGAACAAATTATGTATAATTTAAAGATTGACCTTGAATGGATGGAAGGAAAAAATATGGACCTCCTGACTTTTTTTCATTTAACATGAATGGTTTATTATAAAAGCATTTCATCGGCAAGAATATTATACCAAGATGGTGTAATTTTTTGTTTTCACCATACTCATATTTCTTTTCTTTTTTCATATTCCTTAGAAAGTTCGGGAAACCTACAAATTGCTTCTCCTGGTTCTGTCCCGCGTCATTCTTTGAAAGACATCCGTTAATTTATATAATGGGCTGTCTTTAATATCGTGAAGCTTTACGTCTTTTAGTAATATCTTCACAACACATTTTACGGATGGATAATATTTTAAACCTTGAGTTCGTTATCATATTATTAATGAAAAAATAATGTACATCTTATTATTAATATACAGAATCCATTTACAAAACGCCTGCAAGAATCACACTTGCCTGAACGGAATAATTTGTGTCCCGCTGGAGATTGGGAATAATTGTGGAAAATCTGTAGTTAATGTCAGAGCACAGCCCGTCCCGACAATCGATGCCGAAGGTCTGAGGAGTAGCACCAACATCATCCGTCTCCCAGTAGAGAATGTAGTAACCTATTATCCTGCCTAGAGGAGGGTTCGGTGACATCCATTCTACTGTGATGCTCTCCTGGTCGGAAGATGGAAGTTTTACTCCGATTGGTGGCGCTGGCTCTTTAATGTACATATCATAGAGAAAATTCGTAGGATAATTATGAACGAAACAACTCAATGATCTATCACTGACACGTTGGAATAAGTATAAAATAGATGTTTCGTTTTCTGTCGAAAAAAACATTGAATAATTATAACTTTGACTGTGCTTTTGAAAGGAGCAAAATATTTCGAAGCAATAATATTGTCTTTTTTTACTCGCATATTGTACACAAGCACACTCAGAATCAGTAACCCATCTTGGACAGCTGTCAATAAGGGTTTTGGGTGCACGAAATCTAGAATTCAAGATTACTCCATTACGTCTTATTTATGACTGGAAATAAATACTTAATTAGGTTTCCATTGATTTTAAAAGAGGAGGGTATACAAAAAAGGGGCGAATAATGTAACAACAAAACAAATTAAAGATTTGTACAAGTACATGTTCGCATAACATTAGTTCCTGTATATGATCAATTCCAAACTGTTGATTACAAAATGATTTGTATCAGAGTTGTATTTCTGGTTCTGTAGATACACCGTTGACATTGTAAACAAATATATATTTTGGAAATAGGTATAATTTTCGTCGTTAGCAAAATAGAACTAGAAGACATGCATTTTGAGACCTACTTGATTCATCTGTCTGTGCCCAAATCGCTGGACCATACTCCCCTGCTAGTTCATAGTTCCAAGCTCTGATCCTAATCCTGTAGATCGAATAGGGGATGAGGTCAAATATCTCAAATAGCTCAGGTCCTGCGCTAGCTGACACATTACCATGATAAACCACGTCTCCTGGAAATGAACAACAGGAATAATGATAACGGCTTCGAATAAAGCGCTCATATCCATTACACAGTGACGTTCATGGCCCTTATACAATATTATCCTGCTTATAGCCGAGCCGCCAAAGTAACTAGCACTCAGGCATATCAGATACATTTACAATTGTGTTCAAAGTGGCAAAAGTAACGTCTTGCTAAAGTACATTAGTGCCGTGCTGGGATTTGAACCCCGTACCTTGTGGTCTACAGTCTGGCGACTTATCCATTAGACTACTACACAACCTCTACGAAACACCAAGCGTCAATTTTACTCAGGAGTATAAAACTAGTACCTCGAAGACATAAAGAAGCTAGGTTACATGTTTTTTGAAGGAAAGCTGAAAATTGTATCGAACAAAATTGTATGGACTCTTCTACACCTAAGGTTATATTGTATTGTATTGTATTTATTTTCCTTCATTTAAAAAACATCAACAAATATACATTTACAATCATAAAGACACACTTATAAAAAGGAAGACGGAGGGATGGTTCTACTCAGCGTTGTTAGCATAACAACGCTGATTTACAGGGGGGTCCCTATACACATAGAAAACATGAAAATAGATACAGAAGTACAGAAGTAAGGAAAACTTACAGCAAAATAAGAACTTACAATAATGATAAGAGCAAATTGGAGTAAAACAAGAAAAGGGAGAGAAATATTTACGATATATACAAGGGAGAAAGCTAGACAACCTCTTTAGTCCTCGACTAGGTTTCAATTCCCTCTTTCCTCTTTAGGTTTTACTACGTTACCTGTAGAATTGGAGAGCATAACTTCGTAGCTTGAGATTGGTCCTTTCCGATCACTACATTCTGGTTTCTCCCAAGTGAAGACAATACTACGTTTCTTGATGGAAGTGGACTGAATATTAGTTGGAGGACCAGTAGGATCTGTAAAATAAAAATGGAAAACTCATTCTCATTCATTTTCCTTAGTATTCAATGTTGACCTCATTTACATTTCTTTAATATCAGCTAATGTACATGTTCAGCGAGTTCATAATCTCGTTCTTTGTGTTCGTAACCATTCTCTCACCCCTGTAGTATATTTTTTTTTATAATTCTCAGTTTGATTTTTGTTTTTCTGAACTGAATTTTCAGGCCAGCTTATTTCATTTAATATATTCTCCCATGATATTTTGCAAGGGTTCATATTCAAAGTGTATTCATTCAACTACGAGTTTAGATTATGGTTCTCCTTCTGTTCGAATTTGTCAGATAAGGAATTGACCTAACTCTAGCGTCGTGTCAGGGGCGGATCTAGGGGGGGGGGGGTCGGCGGTTTAACCCCCCCCCCCCCTTTGGGCTGCAAAGTGAGAAAGAAAAAAAATAAGTAAAACATTTTTTTTTAAATTGAAATATCGGGGGCAATGTTTTTGTAATGCTCACTACACCCCCCCCCCCTACTGAGCGAAATATCGGCCGGCACGATTTTCAAATTTCAGCCCCCCCCCCCCCCCCCCTCTTGGAAAATCCTGGATCCGCCACTGGATCACCTCCTCCCCTCCCCCTTAGCAAAGAGCTAGATCCTCCCCTGCGTGTAAAGTAGATATTGATATTGTAATTGGTGTAGCGGTACTTTCAGCTTTCTGTCTTTCTCCTACAACTGACTCAGACGGACCGCAGTTAGAAAGTGATTTTGGTTTTTCGTATTGTGACGGTAAAGGTCTGTTCCCAGATGTAAATAATATAGGTGATTGATGCATACCCCTACACAAACCCTCATACTTACACCATAAACACACACCCTCACCCTCTCCTACGTACATGAACACACAATACTAACATAAATATCCTGTAGTAGCTGCTCGGGAATCCGAATCACCGTAACCGCTACTGGTTCCGCCTCTCACGAACACCATGTACTCAGAGTTGGGACGCAACTCCAGGACATTGAAGGTGAAAGTTGAACCATTGACAGTTCCTGCTACATTCATTCTAGGATCACTCGGGGCATCCTCACACATATCGCCTTGACGAACATAGTACTTGATTTCATAATGCGTAGGCTGGCATGGAGGTGAGGAAGGAGGTTGCCATGATACTGTTAGACCAGTAGTGCCACTGTCTTCCTGATATGTGGTAAGCTCTGTAATAACTGGCATTCCAGGAGCTGATAAGTGTATAGAAAGGAAGGAATAAACATTTCATTCGGGCTAATTCAGGTTTCCTATAATGAATTGACTATACTGTGATCATACTAAATCTAATCACCATCTTTAGAATATGTATTGACTTCAATTAATTTCGTTTTTTCTGATGTATGTTATATTTGTATTATCCACGAGCCAGTACTAGGCTAGCAGTAACAGCTATCTACCTATCTTGAAGCAACGTCAAGAGATGGACTGTATCAAAGCCGATTTGCATTGGACTTAGAAACACACAGTTTCCCATACTTTCCCTTGGAAACAAATACTCTTTAATCGCCAATAGATTAATGTGTACAACGGAAGAATTGCACAATTCATGTCTTTATAACCAATACACATATACGGTAGGCCTATATCTCATTTATCAAACCTGATATATTAGTCATTGCCATTTCCATATGCCATGCACTCCTTCTGAGCTGGGTAGTAACTACTCTTATTCTGAAGCGATATTCTGTGCAAGCATCAAGGCCAGGTATTAGTCCATAGTTTCTTCGGATAGTCGTTGGATACCGGACATATCTATCCCCACCAGTAGGATCATAGAGATCGTATTCATAGCCATACAAAGCACCATGTAGGCTTTCACAAGAGGGTTCCTCCCACACAAAGCGCAAGGAACTGGCAGTAGAGGTGTACGACACTGACTCGATGGCAGAGGGGTCTGTGTATAAAACCAAAGCGTTGAATGATAAATAACATAGTAAATGTAAGTATTTGTAAAAGGTCAATCGCAAACAGGTGTACTAACTTGAACGATAAACAAAAATAGAAGTTATCATTACGGAAAGTGACAATATTTCTCTAATAATTTAGAATCTCATCAATAACAATCATAACAACAAACGTAGTAGGGTCTTGGTCTTCCCGGGCCTACAGAACACCACAGAGGGTAGGCGTACACGAGGACAAACTAATGGTTCGATACGTATTTTATTAAGTGGAATACTTGTCATGCCAGGCTTTTACTACGACATTTAGTATTCCGTGGCGAATTTCGGGAGTGTGGTTAAAGAAACTGGAAAATTTAAGGTTACTTTCAAATGATTTAACAGTTACAAATCACTTTAAACGGTTCTGCATTTGCCCTTTGTCTTATATTTATAAAAGGGGTTATGATAATTTGCATTAAAATAAATCTTGAACCCTTGAGAGTATACTGTATAAAAACTATATCTTTTATTGGGGCGCGAGATTTCGGGACCTGAAGGAAGATACGCGATGAGCAAGGCAACCAAGCTTTAGAAACTTTTACATTTTGAACCTTAGTACAACAAATATTTCTAAAGCAAATTTGTTATGCAAATAAAGAGTTTATATTATCATATTTGTCTTCTCTTTATACCCTTACTCTTTCTCTTTTGTGTGTTTTGCGGTCCCTTCAAGTGCCATCCGGAGCAAGTGCCCCTCCCTCCTCAAAGATACGCCAACGCTAGTATTAACATAATTGTTTACATACCTCCATCTCGTGTGTCTCCGCTAACATTCATAGGTAGGCTCTCCGCTCTCCTTATCACAGGTATGATGGAGATGTTATAAGTGGCGTAATATTCCAAGTCTAAAAGGTATTCGGAGACATATGTGGTATTTGATGTGACGTTAAGTTCGAGGACTGGGGCATCTATTACAGGAACATCTTGACATGCCTTACGTGAGATGAGTTGATATGATAATCTGTAGTAATCCACATCGCATTGAGACGGAACACTCCACTGAACTCCTAGTTGATTCCCAGTTGCATAAGCGTATGCACTTGTGACTTTATTCAACACAAACAGAGAAAAATAAAGGAGAATTTTTAATCTTGCGAAATATCGTACATCTCAGGAAGGCGGTTTGTGTTCTAGAAGGGTAACATTACACCGACCAAATACCATGAGACAGAAAACCGCATACCAGTCGTGCATCTCCCTTTTATTACATTTTCGTGGACTTCCGAGCTTAATTTTCTCTGTAGACAAAGAAGAAAATAAAAATAATCATGTTTACCTGTGTAAAGATTGAACATTTTTTTTTACCTACTTCTGGTTTAAAGTTACAGAATGTTTTAACTTATACATATAGGATGTTGTTGATTGCAGTGAACATAGGAGTTCGAAGCCTGTATATAGCTGGGTTATATATTGGAGCGCCTTAAGCCTCATAATGCGGAGGACAAAGCGTAATACAAGAAACAGATTTGATCTGTTTCTATTTTGTTATCCTTTACTTGGACCCTTTTTTAATTGATATCTGTAAACTCTCTAGTCAATACAGGGTCCATATCTGATCCACCGTTGATTATTGTAATTATTAATAAAATCATAATGCATGACGTATTTAAATACCAAATAAAAAGAGATTTACATATTAAGTCGAGAATACCCGCCCCCGTACTAATATTTTAATGTGTGAAATTCTTTATGAAAATTCCTCGAATAGTTCTTCGCCAATAAAACTTAATGACTGAAAATTAAAGAAATGAAAATTTAAAAAACGACACTTTGTAATGGGGGTAAAATATATTAATCCCTCCGTGAAAATCCCTAAATGTCTCAAAGATATAATGTTGTGCATGTACATGCATATGGACATTATGTTGCCAAGGAAACCTTTGTATCACTATATTAGGAATATGGATCTCTCCCACAAATACACTGTATTATTCAAATACGCTCTTTTAAAACGAAATGTATATAATAAGAATACATGACAATTCTATTTGACATCAGAAAGGTGATTCTAAAAAGTATTATCGTTGTACTATTTTATCCCCCCCCCCCCCCCCACTCCCGATATCTCTGGTAAAGGTGTACCTTTCGCGCGACAAAGTCCTGTCCGTATTGACTTTCACGCCGGAGATAGGGGTATGCTTTCAAAGGGAGGGAACAAGCAAACGCATACTCTAAATAACACTGAGTGGGGGAGGCTGGTATTTAACACTTACAAGTAACTCCTGTTACACCAATAGCATAAGACGCTTTTTCAGTAGTTAGCACGTCACGGTTTCTGGCATATATATTCAGTTCATACATCGTGCATGCCTCAAGATCATTGAACTCTATTGATGAGAATGAAAAGTCATCATCCAAGTACGTGCTCCCAGCAGGTAAAAACACTCTGTCACCATTCTTGTAGATTCTTGGATAGTAGTACCAGAACACTCCATTCACATTTCCACAGTTGAGAGGTTGCCAGGTGAATCCTAATCGTGTTGGAGACGTCCTTTCTGGATTAACCCTGACATGTGTAATGTTGGATGGTGCTAAAGAGAAGCAAAATGAGAGAACATATGTAAATCAAACTTGACGTGTTGTTTGCTTACGTAGTTAGGCTAGCGTGAAGGTTGAAGGAAGTATACATCGCCACTAAACTGTACCATTCATAATTTGCATAAAGCATAAGTCTTGAAAATTATACTTCAACACCGATGCGTACGGTATATGAAGGGAATATAATGCATATATTGACTGGTAGGTTGTATCAGGCGCGTACGCAGGGGGGGGGGGTTTGGGGGGTTAAACCCCCCCTTTGGTATTTTTATGTGTATAAACCCCCCCCCCCCCCCCCCCAAATTTTTTTGTTTTGTTTTAATTATTAAAAAAAAAAAAAAAAAAAAAAAAAAAAATTATTAAACCCCATGAATGACCTAAAACAGGTGACCTTACCCCCCCCCCCCCGCTTATTCAGCGGTCGGGTGAGTCGTTGCGATTTTTTGGAGACCAAAAAAAAAAAAAAATGTGTCCTCTTACCCCCCCCCCCCCCCCCCCCCCCCCCCCCCCCCCCGCTTATTCAGCGGTCGGCTGAGTCGCTGCGAAATTTTCGGCCCGATTTATGAATGTTAAAACCCCCCCCCCCCCCCCCCCCTTGAAAAAATCCTGCGTACGCGCCTGGGTTGTATAATATAACATTTTTGGACTACCTAAGGGAATTATATTTTCAAATGGGTTTTTTTTCACGGAGCGCGCAGCGCTGAGGGGAATGGAACACGTGGGAAAATGCCCTCTTGCTAACCAGGAGTAAAATAATGTATGTTGATAACAACCCTTGAAATCAATATCACGTGACAAACTTTGGACCAATCGCAACTTTGTTTCTGTAAGATATATCCAATATTCATAATTACAACACGGATAACAAAGTATATCACCTTGTACATGTCTTGAAACTGCTATGGAGAAAGGATATTTTGATTATTTGTTCATTACTCACGTCCCGGCCTGGTATCTGAATAGCCCATCGTGGGTTCACTCTGCCCGGCACCATTTACAGCTGTAACGGCGATCTTGTATCGCGAGTAAGGCTCCAACCCCACTAGATTATTGTATTGTTTGACGTTGGTGTTCACTTCAAACTCTGTTGGGGTGGTTTCTAGTGAGGAGCAGGCAAGCTTCTGATAGAGACTGTATCGTATAATATAGTAGTCAGGGGAGCATGGACTTGATGACGTTTCCCAGCTGACTTCAATTTCTGTGGTTGAAGGTGACATCTGTAGGGCTTCTACACTTGCGGGTCCTGGAAATGAATTTGAAATATACAGGTAAACGGAACTTGAAATTTGCAAATTGAAAGAAAATGTTATGAAAACAAATTGAAGGTCGTTAAATGTATGAGTGATGATAGCATTGAGACCATATTTGACTACCACGTACTTCTGAAATGTCCGCGCATGGCAGACCTGTTTTCCTAAAAGTTACAAAATAATTAAATGATGTGCATTTCACTTTTAGCGTAGTGATATAGTATTTCTGGTAAATTGTCTATCATCTCTCAAGATATAAGATATAAGATATGAGATATGAGGTATTGTGAATGAATGAATGAATGAATGAATTACAGCCCAAGCGAAACAGTTTGTATAACTCTTACCAATAAAGTTTAACCTTTCCAACTCCTATATCTATATATATATATATATATACGAGAAAAAAAAATATTCTTACGTATCAAAGACGTGCTCACTGAGAATAATTCTGAAGAGATCCCCAACTCGTCTTTGTTTCTAAATGCTGCGTTGATGTTATACGTAGTACAATCCGCAAGCTCTCCCATGTTAGCAGTAATCGGCGTAGCATCAAATGTCAAGGTTCGCGGAAAGCCATTTTGTCCTTCGGTGCTAACATTGATTTCTAATCTAGAAAGGGCACTGCATCCCCATGATCCCTCTGGTATTACCTGATAGTAATATGTATAGGAAAAAATTTAATAGTGCGCCAATTTGACAAATTAGCGAAATGTAAAATTACCACATTTACCGTCAAACCGTAGATTTTCAAAATAATCCGGACAAATCTTCATTGATGATTTATTATGTTTTATATAATTATACAGAGTAAACATACAAAACGCTTTATCCAAACTAATTAATGTAAAAAATGATACTTCGAGAGGACTTTTTGCAATGTGTATCTCTGTGTATTTTAAATTGAAGTATTTGGATCCGTTTATAAGCGCTCATACTGAAAAGTTAAATCCTTTTTTTTTCTTCTTCCAATTAAGCAAATTTTAATTATTGAATGAAGTAAATTGAACTGAAATGTGCTTCTTGATAGTGATAATAAGAAATTAAATGCATTGAAATCATTCTTAGCTCACCTCCCAATCCAAAGTGATGAATGTTTGACCTCTTTTTCTCACAGATAAAACAGGCGCCTGAGAAGGTGCTGCAAAAAGGATTACAACAAAAACGAAGACAATTAAGTTGTAATTCAGTTGCTGGTTAATACAAATAACTATACAATATTCATGTCACGTGAATATTGTACTGTCTACAAATTATTTTGCCTTTAGGATGAATTCACTACAGTGAGTCCATATTTCCCAGCCTCACATTTGAGAGCGGGAAATTTAACAATCAAAACTTTTAAAGAATGCAATGTAATATAGGTTTTTGGAACGTCGAAGGATCACTGTTTAGGTTCTAATGGTCAGGAGAGAAAAGGTTATCATAACTTATGATAATGTCGCTTATATATTTGCTATTATTAATAACTTTTCAGCTCCAGAAATGAAAATGGCGGAACCTGTTAGGTAAACGCTTTGTTAAGAGCTTTAGTCTTCATCATCTTTGTAAACAAAAATTGACAACAGATAAATTGAACTCATTTAACTTACTGAAGCCACCATTAATTTTCAATGATATACTTGACCGAAATCTCAATCTTAAGTTGTTATGATACAAATCTACTGCTCCTACCAGTACACTTTGTCCTAGCTGTTGCTACGGAGCTGTACATCCCCTCACCCGCTGGCCCCTCTCTCGAAGCAGTCACTCTGAAATCATACTCTGTGTCCCGTGTCAAATTAGTGATCGTGAAAGTTGTATCTCTGATGAGATCTCTTGAAGCCCTAGCTATGTCAGCCTGTCCGGGTGTGTTGTAGTAGACTCGATATCCAATCACTGGCCCATCACCATGATCATTATTCTCATTCCAAGGTGTCCATCGTATGGTGATCGAGTAAGAGGTCATCTCTTGGACGAGTATGTTAGATTCAACAAAGCTTGGAGGTTCTGATAGAACGTAAATTGAGTAAAAAAAAACATTTGTATGGAGCCATCCAAATTGTAAGACTACATATTTAAAGCCCAACTGTACTACTTGTAGCAACTTGCCCCCTCTATATAGAAAACAATGCCTAAAGCTATGGTCACATCACCTAAAAGTAGCCTGCTCGGCGGCCGGGCGGCGAGTTTTGAGCCAATTTCGCCAAGGCATTGAGCGGCGGCCACCCGGGCACCGCTTGTGTTTAGGGCATCGCTCGGTCGCTGCTGAAATTTTAGCGCGGAGTTAAAATTCGAGCGGCACCTGCTCACTTTCACTCGCCGCCTAAAGTATGCCCGGGCGGTCACCGTCCAGGCACCGATGTTCGCCGTCGAGCAATTTAGGTCAAAAATCGAAGAAGCTAGGTCATAGGCTGATGCGCGTTCGCCGCCCGGTCGCCGCCCGGTCGCCGCTGGGAGATCAGTCGGTCACTGGGCGGCGAGTTCAAAATCGGTCAGCAACCTTTGACCAAGCGGCTTTGATTTTTGACCCAAATCGCTCGACGGCGAACGCTCGATTAGGTCGGTGTCCGGGCGGCGAACGCCCGGGCACCGAGCGTATTTTGGCGCCCCGTCGATCACCGGCCGGCTGCCGGGAAATTTCCCTAAAATTAGCCGGTGGCCGGTGGGAGACCGGTCGGGTATCGATGGGTCACTGCCGGGACGCCGCGTGGAGAAGCTTTCCGATTTCGCCCAGTTTTGACCTAAAATTGACCGGCCACCGACGGGAAATCGACAGGGCACCGCCCAGGCATCGCTGGGGCTCTACAGCCTGCTCGACTTTTCAAAAAAAAATCGTTGGGCGATGCCTAAATTCCAGCGGTGACCGAGCAGGCTACTTTTTCTCATGTTAATTGAGAGCTGAGTTGATGAGATAGCCACCTGTCACATGGAAACCATTTTAAAGACAGAAAAGGCAATATAAAAAGTGACAAATTGTGTTTATTATTTTTGTATTCATTGTTTGTGACGTACATGGAGATGTACAAGGCATTTTAAATTCCAGTCGTATTAACAATGAATGTTTACACAGGACGCTAAGCTCTTGTCAGTAAATCGTAGCAAAAAAATAGGTATGCTGTTATGGTTCAGAATTACTCACCATAAACAGAGACAGCCAGATATTTCGAGACACTTTCCCCGCCCGGTATGCGCAAAAGACACATGAAATTCTGAGGGACTTCATCCAGACTCACGATAACCTGGTACCGGGATGTCCTGGTTGATTCATAGACAGTGCTCTCCAGAAGGACAATCCCTTCATCTTCACCGGCTGCATGGGTGACGCTGATGTTTTCAGAGGTCGGTGGAGGGGATCCTGTCACGACACAAACCAATGTTGTAGGTTCGCCATTGTTAACCTTGGTGTAGAAGAAGCTCGCTATAGCAGAAGAAGAATCAGGCTGTGGAGGGATGGTAGTGGTAGCAGGAGTGGGAGCAGTAGTACTAGTAGAAGCTTGAGTTGTAGCATAAGTGGTTTCAACGATGGGGATG